TTTGTTTCTTTTCTTGTTATTTCTACTACACGGGCACAGGTATACTATTTTTTAGTTTTGTTTTTTGGCTTGGGTATACTTGTAAGTATGGAGTTTTCATTTTGCGTAAGTTGTAATGTGGGAGGAGGAACCCCTAGGGCTGTGTTAAAAGTATTTTTTGGCTGTTTTAGACGGGGATCCTCCTCCCCTCTAACTTTTATACCTTTTTTTTAATTTTAACACGTAGAGAGCCTCCGATGCTCTTTTTCCCAAATATATATATACATATATGTATATATATATACATATATGTATATATATATACATATATGTATATATATATACATATATGTATATATATATACATATATGTATATATATATACATATATGTATATATATATACATATATGTATATATATATACATATATGTATATATATATACATATATGTATATATATATACATATATGTATATATATATACATATATGTATATATATATACATATATGTATATATATATACATATATGTATATATATATACATATATGTATATATATATACATATATGTATATATATATACATATATGTATATATATATACATATATGTATATATATATACATATATGTATATATATATACACATTGTGTTTGAAACATATATATATATATATATATATATATATATATATATATATATATATGTCACGTATTCAAATCAGTTGGTTGGACATCTGCTTGTCAGTTGTATGTCCCCTCAGGTATGGGGTTTGATTCCTCGCAGTGGAGGGTGTGGTACTCTAATTGTTAGGCGCACCGGGAATGGTCGAGGCTCGTATAATAGCCTTGGGCCATTCCTTTTTTAAATATATATATATATACACACACGTATATACATATACATGTATATATATATATTTAAAAAAAGAATAACCTGAGGCTATTATATATATATATATATGTGTGTGTGTGTTCAGTTGATAGCGGGGTCACTATTAGTCTCCTCAGGTCAGGGGTTCGATCCCACCTTGGCTCGGGGGGCTTTGGAGATTTAGGCACATGGCGCGGGTCCTCATCACGGGGCCAAAAGACGCATGGAAAATCAATATTTTATTGAAACGCCCAAGAGCGAATTTTATTGAAATTGAAATGTACATAAAGGTTGTATGAGAGGACCCAATAAAGACACCCTACCCATACGATACACAGACACTAACATACTAAAAAAGATAAGACATAGATAAAACTCTAAAATTCAAAACTCGCAGAAAACAAGTTGCTAGGGACGAGCCAGCTTGGTCCTGCCTCTGCCTCTGATTCTAGGAACAGAGCCAGCTAACAAATTGCTAAGTGTCGTGCCATTGCCCGAAGTTACTAAAATATCATCCATTAAGTTCCCAAGCTGGGGTGTGCCTTCATTCTTTTTTTTTTAGATGTGTATACCTGCCATTTCTCATCCGAAGACTGGCTCATCTGATCAGTGTGATCAACATATTGTCGGGCATGTAGAAGAGGATAAGCCCCTAGCTCCTTACTACGAGTAACAATATTCTCATTCTGAAGAGATGGTAAACATGTCTCCTCAGCACCTGATGCTTCCTTAGGATGTGGAGCTGCAATACTATCCTGATTATCGGACCGAAGAATATCCTTTGGAGGTAAGGATCCTGCAGTATTGTTTTCAACAGTAATAGAGACTGTAGGATGCCCAAGTGAACCATCTGCCAATACATTAGTCTGAAGAATAGAAACAAGATTGTCTCCGGTAGTGGGAGGGAGAGGTGACATCGTGTCAACCAGTGTTTCAATAATCTGTGGAATGCACTCGGGAGCGGAAGAGGGACAGGCGTGAAGTGGGGTAGATCCAGTAGCATTTTTACTTGGAGGTTTAAGATTCAGATGCAAATGATAACATTGAGAAAGAGAGTGTCCAAACATACTATAGTGGGTGCAATAATGAGGCATCTGTTCAAGTTCTGCTTGCTGCCAAAATCCCTGATGCTGTGTGCCAATCCATATCTCTCCCGGAAAAGGTAGTAATATCTCGTTCTATCAAAATTCTAGCTTTAGAAGGTCGAGTCAAATTCAATGTAGGCGTATCAGTTTTGAGAGGTTTACCGTATACCATCGCTGAAGCTAGCGATTAGGAGCTCTTGATTGTAAAGGTGGACCTTCAAACCTGGGAAGCGCAGCCAAACAGGAATGATAGGAGGTTCAATACGAGGGTCAAAATCCACAGTCCATTTTAAAACTTTCATCACCTGGTTGTCTATTCGAAGGAGTCTTCTCGCAAACAAATGGACGTAATCTTCATCATTTGATAATTGGATGAGAATGTGCCGACCATCCAATTTACCAATCTTCCAACCCCCTTTCAACTTCATTTGCTCAAAATCCTTTCGAATTAGCTCAAGTTTAGGGTTTCCATAAAGAAACTTACCTACAAAGAACAGTCTACAGGGCGCAGTTAGGGTTGAGATATCGGTCTCTGTGAGGAAGATTGCAGGTTTGCCATTTTTACAAGATATTTTTTTGAGAGTATTCGAAAGAGGGACGGGAGCGGGGTTATCATCGGCAAGGACGGCGACGTAAGAAAGAATCCCTGAGGCCATTACCTTGGCCGGTGTTTCACTGCGTGAGAAAAAACTGAGGAAAACGATGCTCTGTCGCTGAGCAGACAGGCCGTCTGCGACCGAGGATGCGACCGAGGACGAAGGCACTCGACGCAGACGACGAGAAGCAGCGACGGCGTGCGACGACGCAACCCCGAAGACGAAGCTGCTGCAACCCGAGGCGCTGTCGTAGCTGTCCAAAGAAGACGACCGAGAACGAAGAAGGCTCAGTTAGCAACGATTGAGATTGTATGCGAAGCTGACAAGACAGTGGCCGCGAAAGCACAAAGACAATGGAGTGAAAGCCGGAGGTTAACGCTGGGTTTCGCCATCGGGCGAAACCCAAACAGAGCTCGCCACCATCATGAAAAGAGCCCAAAGGAGACACCCTACCATATGATACTAATACCAAAAAAAAGATACAGATAGACTCAATAAAATGTAAAACAAATTTAAAACATGCTGAAAACAAGTAGCTAGGGACGAGCCAGTTTAGTCCTGCCTCTTCCTCTAGTTTTAGGAGCGGAAACAGATAACAAACTTTGAAAAGTCGTGCCATTGTCAGGAGTCCCCGAAGTATCATCCATTAAGTTTCCAAGTTGGAGTGAGCCCCCAGCCTTTTTCTTCCGCCGAGAAGTGTAAATCTGCCATTCTTCATCGGAAGACTGATTCTTGTGATCCTCTATCTGATTTGATGTTAGCACCGTAGTAGGAAGAAAGACAGTCGTTGCCGCCGCGATGGGTTCCAATGTATGTGAAGTGTGTATTGTTACCCTCTGCACCTGATGCTATGCTACTTGAATAGGAGCTGCGAGACTATCCTGATTTTCAGTTCGAACATTATCCGTTGTAGTATGGTCAGGAGAAGGGATCCCAGGAGCAGACTCCAACTCCCGTCTTGTGGTAGTTCCTTCCTCAGGTTGGCTGTCATCAGGTTTGCTGGGACATGTGTTTCTGCTTTTGATTATTGGTTCTCAACTGTGGGTGCAATTTGAAGCATTTGTCCTACGGGTGTCCAAACATCTTGCAGTGCTTGCAGTAGTATGGTTTTTGTTCCATAATGATTTTTTGCCAATAATCATTTTGAGCAAATCCAAGCCAAACTTCTTCTACATCCGGTACTGTAATATCTCGTTCAATCAAAATCCTTGTAATAGAGGACCTTGAGAAATGAACTGTAGGTAAGTCTACCTGCAAAGGCTTTCCAAGGATAGTTTCAATTGCATATAAGATATGTAGGTCAAAGAAATGAAACTTGAGTTCAGGTAATGTGAGTTCGATAGGTGCAATTGGGGGTTCTTGACTGGGATCAAAATTGGGGGTCCATTTGAGCAATTTCATATGTTTGCCCTCAATTGTGATGAATTTCTTTAGAAAATCCTCGTGTAATCATCTTCTGAGCTCAGCTGTATCATAACATGTCTCTGTGCTCAGCTGTATCATAACATGCCTTCCGTCGAAATGACCCACCTGCCAATCCCCAACCAGTTTGAAGTCTTCGAAAACCTTCCAGATTATCTCCATCTTAGGGCAACCTAATTGGAACTTTCCAATTAGTGTAAATTTGTATTTTCCTGCACGAGTTGAAATTTCAGCGTCAGAAAAGAAAATTGCTGGTTTGCCCGCCTTTTTCTCTACTTTTTTTATGAGATTGCAATCTCCATTTCCAACAATAGAATCATGGTAAATCTGCGGGAATACCGTACTAACTGCAAGTTGAAAGGGGAGCTGTGTTTGTGAACCACTGTAGCATAGGAGGATTTGTATATATATTTATTTATGTGTGTGTGAAGGGCGCTGGGTTACTTTAAGCCAGCACAAAATAACGCCTTGCTCAAAACTTTATTTTGACTTAGTATGAGGATGGATCGTTAGATATCCTATCAAGTTGGGCGCTAACTTGTGGTTCTGGTTTAGATTAAGAGAACGTAACCAATAGAAAAATTTATGCAGAACCATGTAATGAATTTAAATTAGAATTTTGCTTGTTCACGGGCATTTAAGAGACATGCCAAATTCTCACTTGATTGTGGTGTTATTATTTAAGGTTTTGTTAGGATGTCACCAGTAAGTGACAAACCAAGCCTGATTTTAATATGTGTAAACTAAGCAAGTGTTAGCTAGAAGGGTGGAATTGTTCTATAATTGGACTGTGATATCATAGATGCTTTTCAATACTTGTTCTTTTGGTTCTTTTGAGGCTTCCTTATTTATATTTCTTGATAGCAAGGTAAACCTGTAATGCATGAAGTGCTAATATTTACGTTTGCACACGTTATAGTGCTTAACGTCCATAATAGCGGGGTTAAGATAAATGATGATGATGCTTATAACTTAAATAAATTTAATCTCTCTTCTGCATTTTGGGGCTGATTTACTCTTGTTTTTTGTGACCACTTTTCACAGAGATTGTACAAAATCTTATCATCCACAATGTGTGAACAAGGATTCTACCTTTTTAGATGCTGATGAAACATGGACTTGTGGTAATTATCTGAACATTTCATCCTTTGTTTGTTATCCTTTTTAAAGCTATTTTGGCAGTTAATTTTCTTTTAATTTCAGCTAATGCTTGTTCTACAAGGAAGAAATACCTTCCAAAATTTTTTTATTGTTCTGGTAGAGAAAATGTTTGCACAACAATTAATACACTTTTTGAACGCCATGTGACTAATATCTTATATGTTAACCATTTTCTGCAAGGGCAATACACTGTTTGTTTCTCCTTCTCGACAAGGTATCCGGATTATGGAGATAAAAGATTTGCTGCGAGGCGAGCATGCAGTGTGGTGGCCAAACTGATGGCGTTTAACTAAGATATGCAATATGCTGGGACTCATATGAGTGAAAGGGAGAGTATAGGAACGAGGAGGCAATGTTATAACTTCAGCTTGATGGGGTATGATTGAACAAATGAACTTGTGGTTAGATATGATCAAAGCTTGCAATGCCTTACTAGGGACCAATGCTAAAAAACTTAAAGGTGGAAGAGGTTTTAAAGATCGCACTAGATTCTAACCACAATATTCATGTCCATTGATGAATGCAAACATCAATGAAAGGTGGCCAGAGGATAATTTTGCATATTTGCAAGTATAGAATTTGCGCCTTTAGCTCTGAGGAGAAGATATCAGTGGTAGAAGAAATTTGAACAAATGATGTTGTGATTGGATGCGATCAAACCTAACAACAACTTTTTGGTTAGCATTGCTCATGAAAGCTAAATGGGAACGTGGTAGAGTAGCATCGATCCTTGATATCTACATCCTTTGATGAATGTTAAACAATAACGAAAGGTGGCTAGAGGATAATTTTGTTTTTTCAAGCATGGTGACATAGCAGTTCATGGAACTTTGAAAGGACGTTCTATGAACATGAATATGCATTGCATGATGTTGATATTCAATTGAAGGAGGCTGGTAATCACACGAGTCTTTTACAGATTGTCAGATAATCATGTTCCTTAGTCTTCCTTAGTAGAACGAGGTTTGTTAAGGAGGTAATGTTTAGAGAAGTCTGACTCTTTTAAAATGATTTGTTAGAAACTTGAAATGCTCATCAGGACAGGAATCAATAACTTTGAGAGATCAAACTCCCAACGACTTGCTTGAATGCAAAATTTTTTAGTTTGCTATTTGCATTCAATATCTCACAAGGTTAACATTTAGAGGCCAAAGAGAATCTTATTTAAAAAAGAAAGGGAAAAAGGAAAAAAGGAAAAAGAAAAAAAAAAGGATGAAAATTTATCTTAACTTGCTCCACGATGAAAGTATTTTGACATCCTTGCTTGCTTTTTAAGACATTCATATTTTGGATACTCTAGATGAATGCTTGATGGGTTTGAGTTGCATTTTGTAATGGTAAGAAGTTGACAATTGTAGAAATTCCTAAAACAATTTTATTTCTCGTTAACTCTCATGCATCACACCTTGCTACATATATAATAATGAAAGAAAGCCTAATAGGAATAACTCAAAAGGGGAAAAAAATAAAGTAACGTAGAAATGAAATATCAAATAAAAGAAATACAATTAGTAAAATATATTTTGAGAAAAGGAATTAAGTTTCTATCTAATGCGAAATGCTACTTTCTAATGCTCCTTCTCAAGCTGGGTTGTATATATTGTATAAATAAAGCTTGAACTTCAATTTATCATGATTGATCCTTGATAATGCTTTGTTGAGTCGTGTAGGAACACAACTGAGCTGAACAATTTTTTTGTTAACCTTTTTTGAGATGAAGTGTCGGTCAATCTCCTTGTTTTATTCTGTCAAGATGCACAAGATTCTTGACTACACTAATAACTACTTGATTTTCACTGAACATCTTAATTATGTCTTTCATCTCAACTCGAAGTTCCCTTAATTTCCTTTGAATCCATATTTTCTCACATATTCTTAACACAAAAGCATGGTATTCAAATTCTACATTACTCCGAGAGACAACTCGTTTTCTTACTTTTCCATATGATGAGATTGCCCCAGATGTATGAATATTATATAGTGGTTGATTTCCTTTTTGTTATCTCTCTTGCCCAGCTAGGATGTGTATATCTCAATCTTGCGATTTTCAGATCTTTTGAAGAGTAAATCATATACAGGGTCATCTTCAAGCATCTCAGGATTCTGTTCACTGCTTCCAAATGACCTTCATTTTGATTATTATTGTGTTGGCTTACTACACTGATTGAGTATGCAATATCTGATCTTATGTGTGATAGATAAGTAGTTTGCCCGCAAGTTTTTGTTATCTTCCTTTGTCAACTGTACTGTTTTCTTCACTTATGTTAAGCCAATTGTTGGAACCCATGGGCGTGTCAGCAGATTTTCACCTAAGTATATTTCACTTAACAGATAATTTCCTTTTTAGACTGAATCACATCCATTCCCAGAAATTATTGGAGGTTCTCGTGGTTCTTGATCCCAAATTCTGTTAGAAGCATCCTTTTTAGTTTGATAATTTTCTTTGAATCATCTCGTATCAAGATAATATCATCCACATATACTATGAGAATAAGAATTTTGATCTAGAATTAGATTTAGCAAATAGTGTTCAATCAACTTGACCTTGATGATATTTGTTTATAATCACTATTTTAACAATCATATCAAATTACATATAAAGAGATTGCTTCAAGTCATATAACAACTTCTGTATTGCAAACCAGCCTATTCGACCTATTTTTCAAGCCCGAAGGTATAATCATGTAGACTTCATCAAGGTCACTAATTCAAGAAGACATTTTTGACCAAGTTGGTATAAAAGCCAATCTTGATTTACTGCAAGAGAGTAAAACTAAAACCATATTAAGTTTGACAACTGATGCAAATGTTTCATGATAATCAATCTCGTATGGCTACGTGAAGCCTTTGACAACTAGGCTGGCATTGAATCTCTGTACACTTACATTGCCTTTATATTTTATCATGAATATCCCTTTGTGGCTAACAAGATTTTTTTTCCATGCGATAACTTTGTAATTATCCAGGTTTTATTTTTTTCTAGAGCATTAATTTGTTCTTCAAGTTTCTGTTTCCCTAATTGGAAAGATAATGACTAAAGATAGAATAAAAGTATTCATTAGCATTATCAGTTTTAAGAAATTGAATTTTGCTTTGGAAGTGAGAATCATAGAATGAATGGATTGAAATATGGTGACTGTTTTAGATTTTTATTTCATAAGAAATGTCCATTTTATTCTTGTGTGATCATCTCTGAATGATACAAATAATCGTATTTTTTTATAGTATTTACCTGTGAGGGTCCCTATATATCACTGCGAATTACCAAAATACAGGTTCGAAGGCTTGTATTTCAATTTGAAATATAGATGTCTGATATGTCTTTGTCACGAGCCGACCTGATGCTTAGAATTAACTAAGGCGAGAACAACGGTAAGACAATATTAGCATATAACTAACCACATTTTGAAAACTTTCAATACATATAAAAAAATTAATAATCCACAAGTGCAATAAAAGCTAAAACATCCAGAAACAATAATATTCAAAAATAACATCTCATTCCAGCACTGAACAGTAAATCAAAAACCGAAAGAAACAGTAAATAGAACTATTATCAAGAACATACCTAGCAGCAGTCTCATTACAGTACTTAACAGTAAATCGAAAACCGATAGAAACAGTAAATAGAACTATTATCAAGAGCATACCTAGCAACAATGATCCTTCTATGGTAAATAAAGTTTCTCCCATCAGACATAACAAACCTAAACCTTTCCTTCTTCTGAAATAAAATATTTAACTTCAACTGTAAGTAAAAATTAGTGATTAATTATAATCTAACATGCATTAAATTTATATGCTATGTATGAATGACCAACAAAAAATGCAATTAATTTCATTAAAACGTTAAAATTTATCCCTTCCCGTTCCACTTTAATTATTTATGATTTTTAACATTTTTGATAGTCATCATAAAATTATTGTCATACTCGAAGGTATCTTAAAAAATGTGTCCTAACGCACCCTCAAAATGTGTTCGAAGACCCGCAGTTACCCTCGAGTTGCACCCGAAGGTGCACATTTACCATTTTCTTTAATGTGTGCCGATACGTTGCATCACCTGCCAGTACCATTTGAGGGCAATTTTGTATGACCTAAACATTTAACTTTCATTTCATTTAAATTTCATTCTTTTAAAGTCATTAAACATTTTTTTTCCTTTTCCCCTTTCATTTTCTTCCACTCTTAAAGTACAACATGTATACCGACATAACATAATTTTCTAATGCTTTAAAGAAAATATTTATTTAATAAACTTTAAAGTCAATACATATAAGAAAATTATTACTCACTTTGTTTAGCTTGTTTGCCACACTAACCTCTAATTTTATAGTCTTAAATGCGCTTTAACCTAAGATGCAACTAAACATTAATGTTTTATTAATATCAATTCCTAAGTAAGCTAAACTTTAATTTAAGACATACCTTATCTCGTAAAAGTATCTGTTTTCTTCCTCAAATCCAAGGGATTAGTCGACCTTCTTTCTCACTTCCTAACTTTAATGAAGTTTAATAAAATTAATTAATTAACATATCTAATTATGTTATTAGTTTTATTAATGACGCAAGGTTTAACATGTACCTTATAGGCTTTCTGGCCGATCTACTCCCTTTTCCGCCCTCTTCACAACTTCCTCTCCTTCAAAGCCAAAATCTTTGTAATAAAGTCTTGATTAAATTGACATTGCATTTATACACACACAAATCCACAGATTTATTAAATAACTTAATAAAAACCATAATATACCTTAAATTCTTTGTTTGTCCAACTCTTCCCCTTCCCTCAAAATCTTTCACCACAATTCTTTGTTTAAAGTCATAAATTTTAAATTTTAATATTATATCCCAAATCATAAATTTTAATTTTTAATTTTTTAAACTCACCTTAAAATTTTGCCTTCGCCCTAGCTCACACACGTGAACTTTGACATCGCAGAGCCCTCCTACTCCACATGAAGCT